CTTCGCTTAAAAAATAGCGTACATGTTAATTTAAAACATGGCTTAATTTGTCTATTAAATTTTATTTAAATGTGGATAGTACTTCTTTGAAGAATAAAATAAAGTAGTAAAATCTTCTGCACTGTTGGTTTACACTGTGGGTACCAATGAGGTATGATAGATGAGAAGGAAGTCAAGAAAGTTGGACCAATATGACAAATTCAATTACAATTTAAGTACTTTGATTTCAAATCCACTTGATTAATGGGGCCGCTAATCCCCATTACTAACAATCTTCTCCCATCAGAGTAGAATAGTAGGATAATATTTTTCTGCCTTATTTTCTTTTATCTGCTGTTCAAATTTATCATCATTGGAGTTATAGTTGTGTATTATATATTTGTATTTGTTTAGGTATATGGATGTACATGTGTGTGTAAAATGTAGTAACAATATTTATAGAAATTTTAGTAGTAAATGCACAGTCTGTTTAATTTTCTGCTTGCCTTATGGTTGACTGGTAGAGAACGCCATTAGGTGTTCAGTTCGCCATATGTATACTTACTTATTTAATTGTGCAATGAAGTTTAAATAAATAATATATAGCAACCTTACTAATATTATAAATATAGAAGTGAGTTTGTTTGTTACCTTTGATGGTTTAACTGTTCAAGTAATTATCATGAAATTTAATAAACATAAAGTATTCTGATAAAGATAGACATAAACTACTTTCTATCTTGGTCAATCAATATATTCCAGTTTTTTTTTTATACAACTTAGAATGGCAAACAAGCTGACGGCCCACCTGATGGAAAGTGGTAACCGTCGCCTATAGACATGAGCAGTAACATGGACATAACAGAGTATACTGTTTCGCCCATGATACCCCCCATGCGTTGCCATTCCTGAGGGTGCAGGTGTTATTCCTCTGTACCCAGTAAATTCACGCTATATCCCACCCTTCAAACCGAAACACAGCCATGTAAACACAACTGCTTTACGGTTGAAACACGAATGGGACAGAGGTACCCAAGCAATCGACTTTTGTACAAAGTCTCCCTCAGGTTCCGTAGACAAAGTCGCCAGTAAAAACTAATTTCACTCATCATCTGTCTCTTATCTAATAAAAGTAAAATCGTAACTAGACTATATTAGTACAAGGGATATAATTAAGAAAAAACTATATAATGAGTCTCAATATAACTAATAAAAGCCAAAATAATTTTTTTTTTAAATTTTGCCTATTTGTTGGTTTCTTTACTTCGAAAGCATGCAAAAACTGCTGCACCAAATTGAATGCGGTTTTCACAGTTGATTTTCTAATGTTCTAATTTAAAATCTGATATATGTTTTATTTTGATATGTCATCTGGAAGTAGACAAATTTATTGGTTTTCCAACTTCTAAAATCCATGTGTACGAAGTACTGAACAAAATGCTAGTTTTTTTGTAAATTAACTAAAACATATTGTTTGTAAGTGATACAAAAATGTGCGATAAAGTCTCAGAGGGAGTCTGGCGACGGGTCAACGGTTGGAAACTTATTTTTTTTTATATTTCAAGATATTTTCATCACGTCGAGGACGTGGCGACGGAGCGTTGATTGATTATTTGAGAGGGTAGTCAGATAATGAAATACGAGTTTTAACTACTAAGCGTTCCTTTGACGATAATATCACGAGTGAAACCTGACTAGATGAGACTAGATGAACTAGATGGAAAATTATTACCTTAGTATAATTTTAATTTATTTTTCGACTCGGAATGGTAAATAAATTGACGGCCCATCTAATGAACAATGGTATTTGCAAACCATAGATATATTGTATCCACCTCTAGCTCATATGCATTGAGATAGATAGAGAAATTTGTCGACTATTTCTTTTATAAGACACTAGTCTTTTCCTCGCTACTTCGTACACGTGGTTTCAAGTGTAGAAAACTAATAAAATAAAACACTTCTAGATCATGTATCAAGATAAAATATACACCAGAATTTAAATTAGACCTTCAGGAACACAAGTGTGAAAATCTCGTCCAATTTACCGGAAAAAACATACGAATAGACAGATAGACAAACGGATACTTAGACAGATAGATAGACAAAATTAAAAAAAGAACATTATTAAGGCTAGATGCCTTTGTCTTATTAAGATTCTTCATATTGATTTTTCTTGAATTGTACCAAGTACCTACATACATCGTCTAGTCACAGTTTTATTATAGTTATTATTATAGATAGAGCATTAAGTCTCAAAAACGTGTCAACTTTTTGTCAGCTAATTGTCAAATTAGCTGACTCGTTTTTTATCAGTGTTCTACATACTTATGCACATAATGTATCTTGACGTATCTATATTTAATTATTTAATAAATAAAATGAGTTTTTACGCATAAAAAAAGATATAAATATTATAAAACAAAATAAATATAGAAGTTATGGAAACATGAGTGTTTCCTTCATAACTTCTATATTTATTTTGTTTATTCTATTATTTCTATTAATCAAGCACAATTGTATGGAAAAGTAGACCTGATTTTCTCGAAGCATTCGTATGGAGACACTCTATATTATCTAAGAATCCAACGTATAATCTAACGCCGTGTAGTCCTGGCATAGAATTGGCCACTCCTTTCTGTCCCGTAGCGTCGTAAGAGTCTACTAAGAGAATTTAGTGGTCGAGAGATGGGCAGCAGCGTCTTTCTTAAAATTTCATCAAAAAATTACTGGGGTTGCCAACCTGTCTGCCAACTACTGGCAACACTGCCCTCTTGGATGAAGACAGGACATATGTCCAGTAGTGGGCAGTAAAACAATATAATCCAATGTATAAAGGCACATGGTTTAATTTAGTTTGTTAACGGTGTATTTACTTTATTGATTAATATCTATTCATCTTTATCTGTATTTCAGTGCAATACCCTACCAATTAGATAGATAACCAGTAATATAATGTTCATGTTATAAATACGACCCGCTGCGTTTTCGGATTAACCGCTCTCGCTTCCGATATCGGCTTAACGCCAATTTTGTTTGTAACTTCCAATTCCCGTTTCGATAACGTTTTGCGTTTAATTAATATGATGAAATTAATTCGCGGCAGTTGCTGTACGTATTGTAAAAAAAAAAAAAACTAAACGCTTTAAATATAAATTAAAATACGTAAAATACGTGGAAATTAATGATTTGTTCTTTGTTTTTATTATTATTATTATACATTATGGTCGCCAAATTTTGAACTAATTTCAGTACATGTTTACGATACAAATATCAATATTATTTTTTTGTACAATAAAATTGGCTGTTATAGTAGTTATGTGTATTATGTAGTTTTTAGATAAAATTTAGATAATTGTAACAATATTGCATTTACGGTTTTTTTTTTTCTCATTTATTTCTCTAAAGATTTATACATAAGTTTAAGTGTTTTATGTATATTGCATTTTTCTTGTAAATACGTACATTTAGACGTTAATGTTAACGACGACTTTTTGTTTGTTCAACATTTTGATCGTTTGGCTTTGTAACATTTAATTTTTTAAATATTTTACTGAACTAGGTGTTATATTGCGAAAGTTCATATCACTGTTTATTTGATTAAGAATTATCTTGTTTCAATCCGTTACTATTAGTATGTGTATAACTGCCAACACTTGAAGATTGACCACCAAAACTACTATATTAGCCATCAATTCCCGACTGCCATTTTGTCCACACACGTTTTGCGACATATGTTTTACCTCTAATCGAGGCATTTTCAGACAAATTCACAGTTAGTGAAATTAAAATAATTCTAATCAAACAACCAGTAACACTTAATTTTAAACTTTCGTGTTGTTAATACATATTTTATATATTTAAAAACGCGATTCTTCAACGCTTCCTGACGAAATAAAAACCAGGTATGTAGATACTATTTATCTACAATTGTATTGTGTTACGTCCCGATTGTGTATTTAAAATATGTGTAATATCTACACCCTACAAGTAGTTAACTCAAATCGGAAACCATGTAACACATGTAATTTTAATATATTGTAAATTTTGTTGCCTATATTCCGCGTATATCTCTATTTTTTCGTTATTGTATTAATGTGGTAGGGCAATAAAATGAACGATAAAACATACAAATGCAGGTACTGTATTAAATAAATCCGATTACGTGACAGCGGCGGATAAATGGAATAAGAATTTAAAACTTTTGTAATTCTTTAACCCATTTCTTTTTAAAGTTTACTTTGAGAGAAATATTCAGTTTCGTTGGTAGAACACTCCTTTAGCAGGACACTAACGATTTCAATTTCACACAGTGTATATAGATACATATAATTATATTGAGATACTGTCACTATGCAAAGCGATTCCAAGTAATGTTGTTTATTTAACATGGTCCCCTTAAGAGCCAAACGTCAGAGATAAGTTAGTCCTAAGTAAACAGAGATTGTGTGTATTCGGCAATGTTTGCTTGTATGTAAAGCGAAATCTCAAAGTTTTTGGAGTTTGTGAGTATGCTGAACTTGTTAGTAGCTATCTATTTATATTCGCAAATAATCTGTTATGATTATTACATAGTTCCATGAATTCACATAATATATCCTTACTAATATTATCAATGTGAAAGTGAGTTTTATTTTGTTACCTTTTAGCACCTTAACGGCTTAACCAATAACTATGAAATGTATACGTAACATATGAAATAGAGAAAAGCATACATTACTTTTTATCTTGGTCAATGAACATGTCTTGGTCATGAAGACGAAATCGCGGTTAAAAGCTACTATTATTATAATGGGATTAATTTCGTATACCCAGTCAAGATTAATAGGTCTCTCGCACTTAGGGCATAATATTAAGTGACTAGCATTATTTAATCGGTGGGTTATACGAAATTAATAATATGATTCATATAAAGTGAATTTTAGCCTTTCTAAGTTTAATTTTCAATTATACTTCGTTCTCGTACTCTATTCTATTCACAAGTAGTTATATCCAAGTTAATTATTCAATATCTGTTTCAGATCAGCACGAGTAGGCAAAACCTCTCTTGTGGCGAGGTTCCTAGGCACCAAGTTTGAAGACAGCTATACACCGACCATCGAGGACTTCCATCGAAAGCTGTACAGAATTCGAGGGGAGGTGTACCAGCTGGATCTCTTGGATACATCTGGAAATCATCCCTTTCCTGCCATGCGGCGATTATCTTTTCTTACTGGTATGTATTATTTATTTAGTATTAACTTTGTTACTTACAAATGACACCTTAATCGGACTGCAGAGGGAAGGGATTTTTATTAATGAGGAATAGTAGTTCTATTGCTAATAATATAGGGAATATTACAATAATATCTATAGCAGGGTGACCATCTCGGTCTCCCTAGAAACCATCGTACTTAATTCCTAGCGAATTCATCACGATTATTCTGTACTATTGCCCCGCCAACGTACACCGACAGCGCAGACGGAGTTACAATCCCATTTTTATCCGAAAAAAAAATATTTTGGATTGCAGTCCGGAGGATTATGAGCCTAATACTGAATTTCACAAATAAATATTTGAATAATTTATAAACAATTGTCACTTGCTTCGTATTTCGGACGGTACGAAACCATCGTCCGATAACCCATGTCAAAGGCCTTCAAATATAACGAAGGTGGCCTAGAAAATAAAGATTTTCTAAGTAATGTCAATATATTAGAGTATGCTATCCTCACATGGGTAGTAGTGGAGTAATATTTACTTTATATATCACAAGGGTAGAAAGTTTTGGCAAAAGATAAGAACTGAAAACTACTTAGCCATTGACACTATTCGATCAAGGGAAACTTGCATTGTAAATTTAAACATCTACTACCTGGATTCCGTCATAATTTAAATTCGGAATTCGCTATTCGAAAAAGAAAAAACATGATAACGTATATATTAGAGAGAGATAGATAAGGAGATCATTTACATGTACACTAAAGGCTCAAAAAATGTTGACAAAGGTTATAATTAAAACAAATTATAATTATTTTTCCGTTTTGAAGTTTTATGTAAACATAATTGGTCTGAGTTATAGATATTGTACAAGCAATATCCGAATGTTACATAAATTATATAAAAAAACGTACAAAATTATAATTTATACACGTAAGTACACTTTAAATATCTAATGCTTTAAATCATTACAAATATTTTGTACAAGAATTGGTAGAGAAAGAATAACTACGAATTGCAATCAAAATAATAATTACGTCTACTATTTTGCAAATTGAATTCATTGTAATTTCAGAACTGTTACATGGACATAGAATAACATTTACATTACTCACACTAGCAGATGTTATCTTTAATCTATGACTCATTTACACACTAGTGTAATTATTTTGTGCATAATATAGTAATTCATCTGAGCTTTTTTGGTATCGCCACTGTTGTTTTCACATTGCATTTCCAGTTTGTAACTAGGTAAGTATGTTTTACTACAATATGTCCTCTATCCAGACGCACGACAGTAATTATTTGTCGGTTCCAAATGATCCCTCCTAACCTAAATATATTGCTTTTTTGTTGGACGTGTCTGGCATTGTAGAAAAATGGGTTTTGTTTTGAAAGTACCTCTCGGTGTTAAAATAGCGCTTTATTGTAACAACTTCAATTTTCTTTTGCGGGATTTTAATTTTAGATTCAGAATATTTATGGCGAATGAAAAACGATATTGAGAATTACTCTTTTAAAAAAATGTTTGTTACTAGGACGTAACCCATTTCGAACTGGCTTAAAAAAAGAAGGAGATTCTAAAATCGATTGTATTTTTTGTTTGTTACCTCATAACTCCATCACTTATAAACTTATTTGGAAAATTCTGTTTTTACTTGAAAAGATGTACCTTCGGATTGATGCTACAGAAATTTTGTCGAAATCGGTTCAGTTTCGTTATTTAATAAAAGATTTGAAGTAAATTTTTTATGGGATTTGTGTAATTTTTTTTTTATTATAAAGTAATCGAGTGATGTATTAATTATATATATTTAATTTTATACCTAATTTAAAATTGGTAGGCAAGTTTATTATTATGAACAGTCTTGTGCATCACTTATATAAAAATCTACAGTCATAATACAAGCAAACAGGGGGAAGGGATTGTTAGTAATGGGGTCTAACAGCCTCACTGCTAACAATACACAGTATCAGGTCGACCACCACGTGGTTCGCCCTGGAAACCATTGTGGTTAATTCTTGTGGAATTCGTCACGATGGGCTAACTGACCTGTTTTCATCCTCATCTGTCATTTATCACTGATGCCCTGCCACCATAAATCGACAGTGCAGGCGGGGTCATCATTCCATTATCATCCATAAAAAATACAAGTAAACAAAACTAAACATATTTAACTTGAATATTGTAAAGTCAAAAGTTTTTTGCATGCTTAAAACCTACTTTAAATACTAATAATATATATATATTTTTATTTCTTTACTAGCGGCCCGTCCCGGCGTCGCACGGGTAGACATTTTTAACATTTCCCTTCACTGCTTTGCTCCTATTGATCGTAGCGTGATGAAAAGTATACTATAACCTGACCAGGAATATGAGGAATAATTGTACCAAGTTTTGTTAAAATCCGTCGAGTAGTTTTTGTTTCTATAACGAACATACAGACAGACAAAAATTTTACTGATTGCATTTTTGGCATCAGTATCAATCACTAATCACCCCCTGATAGTTATTTTGGAAATATAGTTCAGGTACAGAATTAACCTCTCTACAGATTTATTATTAGTATAGATTATTTGTAGAAAAAACGGACTTTTGTATATTTAGACATAAAAGACAAATTATCATGTACATATACATATACATTATAGTGAACAGATTTGAATAATAATCCAAATGTGGTATACGTTTGGATTATAATATTTTATACAAAAAATATTTATCCCTAACCAGAGGGAGACTTTGTATAAATGTCGTTTGCTTGGGCACGTCTGACCCATTCGTGTTTCTACCGTGAAGCAGTTATGTTTACATGACTGTTTTTCAGTTTGAAGGGTGGAATATGGTTGTGAATTTACAGGGTACAGATGAATAACACCTGAATTCTCTGGAATGGCAACGCATGGGGAGTATTATGGGCGAAACAGTATACTCTGTAATATCCATGTTACTGCTCATGTCTATAGGCGACGGTTACCACTTTTCATCAGGTGGGCCGTCAGCTTGTTTGCCATTCTAAGTTGCGTAAAAAAATAACCATTAAACTAGTCTGCTTTCGCGTGGTTTTTTTTATGAAATATAAAATAAATAATTTACTCGCTGATGGTATAGCTTTCTATAGGTGTAAGTATTTTTAAAATCGGTTAAGCATTTTTTGAGTTTATTCTTTCTTTATTCTTTATTGTACACAAAAGGTTATTGAAATGGAAAAACAAACATAATAGTGCACAAAGGCGAGCTTATCTCCAAATTTTTATATTATATACGAGTATTATAAAAATTAAGAGTTTATTATAAACAAAAATTAAATCTTTCCTCTTTGTAATATTATTTCAGATATAATATATATTCTACAGAAATCAGTAACCATGAAGCTCTACATATTTCGAAAGTTGAAACATTAAATACGTTTCGAAAACGATCTTACTTAATTTCCAATTTACCCTAGAGCGGTGGAAAACTCGCGTGTGTTGTAATGTGCCGAATAAAGCTGACTCGAGTACTGAAGCGAATACCTAGTAGGTATTCGAGTACTCAATGTATAGAAATTAAATATATGGTATTCGATTACAGGTTTCGAGTACTTAAAATATTCGAATATTACTCGTGTGTTTATCATAGATTTTACAGTTATTATTATTTACACATAATTCACTTAAAAAATCAATTGAAAAAGTGCCGGAGTGTAGTAACAGTATATATAGTAATGCCACTGTGTGGTTCCTGCATAGAAAGGACCACCCCTTCCTTTCCCGTAAAATGCGATAAAGGGAACAAAATGATCGAGAGATGAGCAATAGCATCGCTCTTAAAACATCACCAAAGGCTAACGGCAATTGTTAACCCGCCGGCCAAGCATGGCAAATACTGACAAAACCTCCGATACCTATTATGGGAAAAGCCTATGTTCAGCAGTGGACAGTTAACGTCTGATAAGATGATGATATATAGTAACAAGTACTCGATACTTGTCCGAACCTCAAACTCGAGGCAGGATTCGATTATTTTTTTATGAGAACGAAAAATCCTCGAATACCAAAAAAGCCCGATTTGGGACATCACTGCGCGTGTGTCCAATCCGTGTGTATATTAACTTAGCTAACACAGATATAAACGGGAACGGGAAATGAATGCTGCGGTTTGAAGTTAAACATACAAATTCTGTATAAGCCAACTAGCTTTCATCTACGTTTTTTATTCATTTAGTTTTTTGCTTTTATACACTTTTTGATCATATCCCAATATTTTTCGCATTTTTATTTGTTTACTAGTTGTATAAAAAATACTTTAATTAACTTCACTTTAGTACTTTCCAAAATAATGAATGTGAAAGTGAATTTATTAGTATTTTTTTTTGGCGTATCAACAATTAAACCTCTCATTATGAAATTTATTATACACCTAATTATCTGAGGTGAAGGAATTAGGCTTTTTATTTCATTAATAAATACGTTTTAGACCTACGAAATGTTTTACTCGAATTACATCACCATCACTGGAATATAATTAATTACTCGTAAAATGTTAAGCATTTTGAGTCAGACATTGCACTAACCAATCAATAGAAAATAATCTATTTAATCCGTTTTACCGTCCTGGAAAAAAATGAGTTTACCGCCCTCTTTATTGCCGTTCTATGCTTTAGCCCGGCTTCTCTTTTCCTATATAAGACCTTGGTTAGTTTATCCTATTTTACTATGACTCGAACACAATAATGGTAACCTCTTGACATAACAGTCATGAACAGATAAGACCATGGTATCAAAGATAGTTATGTAAAATTTGCATTCATAATCATCATCATCTCAGCCATTATCTGTCCACTGCTGAACATAGGCCTCCCCCATAGATTGCCATAAGGAACAGATGAAACAAAATCTGCATTAATTTATCAAATTTATTGAAATAAATATACATGTATGTATACATTGAAGTCTTTATAGTACATAAGTATTTACATCAATCTCGATATAGTATATAATGTACATCGCGTTCGATGTATGTTTATCTTGCA